GGGCACTTTATGGCTGGGGCACCCCCCCGGTCCACTTGCAGGGCCTTTCCTGGGCCTCACCACGGTCCTGGGCGGTAGAGGCTTGGTCTTCCTCTCACCCACAGGAGAGTGGGCTTGGACGCCTTGAGGTGCTGTCCCCAGCCGGGAGGGCAGAGCAGGGTGTGAGGCTCAGGGGCACTTTATGGCTGCTACACCCGCGGCCTCCCGAGCGCCCCGAGGTGTGGTCTCAGCCGCAGGGGGTCTCCCCCACACAAGGTTTGCAGCTTACCCCACAAGCTGGGAGCCCGGGAAGCCTGCAGGACTGTGTTGGCCACAGTCCCACGTCCTCCCTGGTTGCTCTGGCAGAGCCCTCCTAGGTCCTTGCCCAGAGCCCTGGCTGTGGCCCAGCTCAGTGTGGAGCGGCGGTGGGAGGAGGCGGCTGTGGCACAGACCCAGGACACGGGCCCTGCCAGGTTGGCCTGTGGGCCACAGCCCATGCCCCGCCCCTGCAGCCCCGCAGCGAGTGGGTCTTCCCTGCCGCCACGTGTGCTCTGGGGGCGAGAACAGGGGAGCCGAGGCCGGCGCGGTTCTCTGTCAGCGCTGCAGTGCCCACGGTGTCTTTGGTGGGTCTGGGCTGCCTTTACAGGGCTACATCGGGCTGCATGGGGCAGAGGGCCCAGAGGGGCTCGGACCCCGGAAGTGAGGGCGTGGACAGGGTGAAGTGACCCTATCCTTCTCACCCACCTCCTCATGTGGCAGTGCGGCCACCACGTCCTGCAGGCCTGGTGGTCGCTCCTCCTGGAAGTCCCAGGAAGGCCTCTGTCCACGCGGCCAACAACTGAAGCAGCCAGAGCCAAATGGCCAAGTCCCCGTCAGCCCTTGCTGGCCCGGCCCAGGCTGCCCGCAGCGGGGGTGGCTGCAGGGACAGACCCTCGTGCCCTCTGTGCCAGGTGACGGGAAGGGACGCTGGACAGCGATGCTCACACACTTGGGAGGGGGCCATCGCCTGTTCCTGTGTGCCCAGCCTCCCGAGTCCGGGTGAGGGCCCCGTGGGACATGTACTGGCTGGCTGTGCTGTCTATCCAGCCCACCGCTAGACGTTCAGGTCACCTCCATTCTCAATGCATGGTTCCCACAGGACCTTTCAGGGCCTCCGAGTCTCCCTGGCGCCCCCTGTCCTGGCCGCCTCCATGGCAGACCCTAACTGGGCCCCTCTGTCTTCTCCAGCCCTCAAGGGACCCTGTCCTGAGGACAGAGGCAGGACGTGGGGCCAACACTGGTCAGAGGGCTCCCTGAGAGTGGTCCGTGGGCCTGCAGTGTGGACGGCCGCGGGTCAGTCCTGGCCCTGGTGACAGATACAGCGTGTGTTCCCCTCCCTGCCTGGGCTGGAATGCTGCTTTCAGCTGATGGAACTGTAAAGTTTCACAAAGTCACCTTTGGGCCACCAGCAGGGAGGGGAGGCCACCGCGTGCACGCTGGCTGCTTGTGCTTGGAAGGGCTGCTGCCCGCACCAGCCCCTTGCCGGAGCCTGACCCCCTGGCACAGCAAACGTGAGCTGGCAGCCCACATCCCCACTGGGCCTCTGGCCCTGTTCTCCTGCAGAATTGGGCCTGCCCCAGGTCCCAGGCCCATTTTCTGGAGGATGAGGCAGTGGCAGGGGTGGAGGTGACTCTGGGGACCTCTGGGCAGAACAGAGCAGTCTGCCAGGTGGTGGCAGGAAGCACAGAGGGGCTTTCTGAGGGAGGCCAGGATGCAGCCACTTCAGGAGACAAGGTAGGGAGGCCCCAGAGCACCTCACTGCTTCCGGCTGGGTGCTGGTGAGCTCTGGGCGTGCATGGCAGAGAGCCAGCCCTGGTGTGAGGTCCCCAGGATGCTCGAACCCGTCTCGCTCTGGAGCAGCCAGCTCACATTGAGGCGGGGACGGGGCTACCCGCAGGGATGCCCGGAAAGGGCTGGGCTGCTGGAGTCCTCAGACCTGCAGCTGCCCACTGTGGTGCCCAGTGGGCCCAGGCCTGGCTCTCGGGATGGGCTTGTCCCTAGGACCGCCAAGGGTCATGTGCCTATTCGTGCAGGCCGCTTGGAGCGAGTCCCGGCAGTGCTCTAGTTCCCAGGGACAGAGCACGACCGCCCACGGCTGGCAGAGAACGCAGCCTTGCAGACACTGCTGTGGGAAGGAGGGAATGTCAGCTCTCCGGGACTGTATGTTCCCAGGAGCCCTCCCAGGAGGGGGTGGGTCAGCGCTGGGGTGCGTGTTGGTGCAGACAGGTGGAGGGTGCCCACCCGTGGCCTCTGCCTGAGAACAGAGGGGTGCAGAGGCTGCTCCTCCATCCACGCTGGGCGACCAGGCCTCCTTCTCCCTCCCCAGGAGCCTGCCCAGAACACCGAAGAGGCTGGGTAGGACCTGCACCAGGAACCGAGGCAGGGAGGAGACTGCAAGGACCCGAAGCAACCTACCCTTCCTCTTCCTCTTTCCGGCCTCTGAAAACACGTGGCCAGAGACTGCTGTGGCTGTCACCTCTCAGTGTGGCCCCGGGAGGGAGCCGACCACGTGCTCGGACCATCCAGATTTAAGAGACACAGGGGCCCCGCCTGGAGGCGCAGCTGGTGGTAAACTAGCCTCAGTGCTTGAAGCCGCATGGCCCAGCTGGGCTTAGGTCCCCAGGTCGGTTTAAAGACATGCTGGGTGAGTGCGGCCCCAGACCTGGTGAACTTGAGGGCCAGCGAGCAGACGGTGTGATGAGATCCTTCCAGGGCTGCTTCTCCCTGCACGCACATACACGTGTGCTTAATCATGCATAAGATAAGCTCAGAGAGGGGAAGGAGGGCGGCCAGGACGCCTGCTTTGGTTTATTATTCTGACTTTATGGATAGTAAATTGTTCTCAAAGCACATTGAGAAATGATCTCTCCAGCTTCTGGTGGCCAGTCTATGACCCCTTTCTGCTGGGGTCCTCATGGCCCCGGCACTTGGTGGCCAGCGTAACAAAACTGCAAAGCTGGAAATCTGTCAAACCTAAGGAAGCAAAGCTCTACTCTCCCCACAGCTTGGGGAGAATATTCTCCCAGGGCCAGGCGTGGCAGAGGGGACATAGACGAAGGACACTCCCAGAGGAGGTGTGTGTGAGGACCACCGTTGTGCCTCACGAGGGGCCCTCGAGCTCAGCTTCACCTGCTGAGAGGAGGGAGCAGACGCCACTCTTCAGTTGGAGGAGAGCAGCTGATGAGATCTCGCAAAACACCTGGCGTAGTGCCTGCCATCTCTGAGAGGCCACCCACCAGGGCCTGGGGCCACCTCTGCACAGGTGGCAACCATGCCCATCACTAAGTGGGGTTCTGTGCTAAAAAGACGTGTCTGTGGACCCCCATGGATTTCTAGGCCTCCACGCTGGCAGTCGCCTGGACAGGTGTGCCCCTGTGTGTCCAGCCCTGCAGCTGGAGCCTCCAGATCCAGACACCATGAACCGGAATTGGGCTCCCCACGTTAGCCTCGATGCTGTGGAAGGCCCAGGTGTCTACGTCAGAGCCGCTTCTGCCTGTGCCTTGTGCAGCAGGAGTTCACACATTCCTTGTTCTGTCATTGTTTTTCCCTTTATATCTAACACATTTTGTGCTGAAATACACTCAGCTAAGATGTATCATTTCAACGGTTTTTCAGGTTACAGCTCGGTGGCATTAAGTACATTCGTGTTGTGTGTGGCCCTCTCCACCATCTACCCCCGGGACTCGCTCATCACCCCAGCTGAAACTCTGTCTCAGTAACTCCCACTCCCCCTTCCCCTGCTCCTGGTAACCAACATTCTACTTTGTGTTTCTATGCATTTGAATATTCTGGGTACCTCCTATTAGTATGACCAGACAATATTTTTGTGTGTGTCTGGCTTATTTTAGTTAGGATAGTGTCTTCAAGTGTCAACCAAGTTTGGCATGCATCGGAATTTCATTTCTGTTTAAGGCTAAAGAATGTTCCATTGTAAGCATATGTCATGCTTACAGTGCAAGTTGTTCAGTGTAGTCCACATATCCTAACAATAGTAAGTCTTCAAATCCATGAACATGGTATGTCTTTTATTTACTTGTTTCTTTTCTAACTTCTTTCAGAAACATTTGTAGTTTTCAATTTGCAAGTCCTTTACCTCATTGATTAAGTTTAGTCTTAAGTATGAGTTTCTAAACTTATTCTTGGTGTTCTTATATGTGGAATTATTTTATTAATTTCCTTTTGGGCTTGTTGGTTTTTAGCACAACTGATTTTTTGAAGAGTATGTGTGCTAATTTTTATGTCCTGCTACTTTTCTAAATTTGTTAATTATTTCTAACAGTTTTTTTTTTTTTTTGGTAGACTTTTACGTTTAAGATCATGTTTTCTGTGAGAGCTAATTTTACCCTTTCCAATTTGGGTGCCTTCTATTTCTTGCCTAATTGTGCTGGATTTTTTTTTTTTTGCATTAATTTTGTATCCTGCTACTTTTTAAAATTTGTTAATTAGTTCTAAGTTTTTCAGTGGAATCGTTAGGGCTTTCTGTGCATAAAGTCATGTGATTTGTGGACAGAGTTAATTTTACCCTTTCTAATTTGGATATCTTCTCCTTTTTCTCCCCTAATTGTTCTGGGTAGAACCAGCAGTACTGTGGTGAGCAGGGATGGTGAGAATAGGCAACCCTGGCTGTGTGCAGGTGTAGAGGAGGCGTTCACCATGGAGTGGAATGTCAGTAGTAAAAATGTAACATTTTTCACATATGACTTTCATTATGTTGAAGTAGTTTCCTTGAAATTATGTTGAATTTTGTCAATGCTTATTGGGCATCAGCTGAAACGATCATTTAATTTTGCCCTTATTCTGTGAACGTGGGATTTTACTCTGATTGATTCTCATATGCCATCCTTGCACTCCAGGAACAAATCCCACTTGGTCATAGTACACGATCTTTCTTCTTTACATTTCTTTTATTTCAATTTTATTATATAATTTTAAAAATTTACATTTAATTATTAAATCTTTGTGGGGCACAACATGAATTTTCAAAAAATGTGGAAGACTTCCTGAATTTGCATGTCGCCCTTGTGCAGGGGCCACACTAACCTTCTGTGTATTGTCCAGTTTTAGTGTAAGCTGCCGAAGCGAGCATGGTCTATAACCTTAAGAGATTTCTATCTTACTTAGAGTTAATTCTTCTTGGATGTTCAGTTCATATCTATCTATCTATCTATCACACATTTGGGGCATTTTCAGACGTTTTTTAAAAAAAATCTCTCTTCTCTCTCTTTTCTTCTGTATATCTCTTTATTGATATTTTCATTAAAAAATCGTTATCGGATGTGTGTGCTCACTGGAGAGAGGCAGAGAGAGAAAGTGAGAAAGCACCCCCCCGGGGGGATGATCACACTGAATCCTGTACTCCTCCATTCTCCAGACGGTGTTTTGTTCGTTTGTTCGTTTGCTTGTTTTTAAGCTGCTGGGTCTGGGACTCTAACCACACAGTCGGCCATGTGGGATCCAGCCACTTTAACCCCTGTGCCACCTGGCTGACCTGATCTTCCCATTTTGTTCATACACTGTGTTCTTGACTGCTCAACTTTTCCTCTACTTCTCTGAACATCTTTACGACAGTTATTCAAGTCTTTGTCTAGTAAGTCTGTTGTATGGTCTTCAGGACTTTTTTGTTTTTGTTTTCCTTTCTTTTTTTTCCTTGAGAGGTTTTCGCTATAGGGTGCATGAACTCGCCAGAAAGACAGAGAGACAGAGAGACAGAAGGTGAGAAATCACGCCCCAGGGGGGATGGCCACGCCACAATCCCTTCTCCTCCATGCTCCTCTCGGGATCTTGGGCACGCATGCACACGCACCCGGCGTGAATTTAAGTCATAGGGTCCGGGACTCGAACTGCGGTCGACTACATGGGAGTCCAGCAACATAGCCATTATGCTAACTGCTGGTTCCCACACTTTCTTATTTCTTGGTATGCCTTGTGTTTTGTTTTGTTTTGGTTGAAAAATGGACATAGGCATCTTAAAATGTGCTATGATCATTCTGAAAACCAGAATCCTCCCCTCCCCTAGGACTCTTTATTATTTCAATTGCTGTAATGTGCCTATGGTATGCCCCCGGGTACACTTGTTTCCTGAAGACGCACTTTAGAGGAGGCTCTGGGCTCCAAGACACCAGGCCTCCAGGGGGGTCACCACAGGCCGCCCTGCTCCCCAAGTCAGGGCCGGCCCGCTGCTGTGTTTGCTCCCCACTGGCTGGAACCTGGGTCAGGGTGGGGTGGGGACACTGAGTCCTGGCTAATGGCAGCACAGTGCCCCGCGTCACCTTGAGTGGTGACCTGGGCCGTCTGCTCAGAACAGACCCCGCACCTTGCAGAGAACACTCTAGATGCTTTCCCCTTTCACTCAGTTTTTGAAGGCAAAAAGCGGAGGCTGGATGGAGCGCAGAAACAGCAAGATGCTCTTCAAGGCGGACCACGGGCTGCCTGGGGCCCGCACCTGGGGTCCCCCGAGCCCAGGGCACACAGGTGCCCGTGATCCAGGTGTCTGGAACGGGGCAGATCGCAGGGCAGGACCCCGCTGGGGTGCTCTCTCAGGAGTGAACTACACGAACACACAGACCTTGACAGGGAAGGGGGGTCTGGAAGCACGTCTGCAACGCCGTAACCTATCATCAGTATTCACCCCGTCCGGGATTCGAACTGCGGTCGACTACATGGGAGTCCAGCAACATAGCCATTATGCTAACTGCTGGTTCCCACACTTTCTTATTTCTTGGTATGCCTTGTGTTTTGTTTTGTTTTGGTTGAAAAATGGACATAGGCATCTTAAAATGTGCTATGATCATTCTGAAAACCAGAATCCTCCCCTCCCCTAGGACTCTTTATTATTTCAATTGCTGTAATGTGCCTATGGTATGCCCCCGGGTACACTTGTTTCCTGAAGACGCACTTTAGAGGAGGCTCTGGGCTCCAAGACACCAGGCCTCCAGGGGGGTCACCACAGGCCGCCCTGCTCCCCAAGTCAGGGCCGGCCCGCTGCTGTGTTTGCTCCCCACTGGCTGGAACCTGGGTCAGGGTGGGGTGGGGACACTGAGTCCTGGCTAATGGCAGCACAGTGCCCCGCGTCACCTTGAGTGGTGACCTGGGCCGTCTGCTCAGAACAGACCCCGCACCTTGCAGAGAACACTCTAGATGCTTTCCCCTTTCACTCAGTTTTTGAAGGCAAAAAGCGGAGGCTGGATGGAGCGCAGAAACAGCAAGATGCTCTTCAAGGCGGACCACGGGCTGCCTGGGGCCCGCACCTGGGGTCCCCCGAGCCCAGGGCACACAGGTGCCCGTGATCCAGGTGTCTGGAACGGGGCAGATCGCAGGGCAGGACCCCGCTGGGGTGCTCTCTCAGGAGTGAACTACACGAACACACAGACCTTGACAGGGAAGGGGGGTCTGGAAGCACGTCTGCAACGCCGTAACCTATCATCAGTATTCACCCCCACAGAGCGCAACGGCGCCTGCACCACTGGCCGATAAAGACGTGGCCGCACTCAGGGCCCCTCGGGCCTCCGAGTCGGCCCCACCCTCACTCTTGCCCTGTAGGGTCCCCACCCTGTCACCATGTTGACAGTACCCGCCTTTCCTCACACTCTACCCGAGCTTCCGCCCCAAACGACACAGTGCCTAGTTTGTCTTTTCTAGGTTTTTACGATGAGGAGCGTACACTCACCAGAGAGAGATGGGAGAGGGAAAGTGAAGTCACCCCCTTTTAAGCTGCCGGTACTGTGACTCAAACCATAATCAACCTGCTGGCTCCACTGCCTCGTTTTTTTTTTTTTTTTTTTTTTTTT